TCTTGCCCATAGTCCTGCCGAAAGAAAGCGAGACGAGAGAGAGAGAGGGTTGTCCGCGCAGCGGTTCAGGGGGCAACCCTTGACCCCAAACGCCGTGCAAGCAAGCAGGCAAACAGGGTTGTCCATACCGTATTTGCTGTTTTCTTTGCTTGGGGGGAACCTTCCAGAGCATTAGCCAGTTGTGCAGTGTTCAACATGGCGCGAGTTGGTCTGCACAGAGCTGGCAACAGCCCTAGCTCGATGAAGATGAGGCCCGAGGGTTCATAGGTTAGTCGGTTAAGGGGGTTCAAGAGTTGAAGAATAGCAGGCCTCATCGAGCATAGCTTTCACAACACTTGACGACAGACAGGGCGCGTGCGTGCGCGGGAGGAGGTCGTCCCGCTCGTCCCCTTGACTGTGTGGAAGAAGCGAGACAGGGCGAGGGGCACCAGCTCTTTCCCGGGCGCAAGCCCAGTACAGCCGAGCAAAACGGTGGATGGGGCAGCTCTGACGAGAGGGAGGTGGGAACTGCCTCCCAAGCCCAGAGAGCTGATACGATCTGACACGTGCCAACCAGTTTGGGGTTGAGGACCGAGGAGCACACGGGCGAAGAAAAAATATTGGGAACATGTCGGAACATCTTCGCACCGTGGATTTTTGGTCCCACTGCCTTGCAGAGGCTGTGGCGCGGCTCTCGGACGGAGAGTCGAGGAGGTAGGACACACTGAGTGCTGGAAGTTCACCTCTCTCCCAGCTCTTTTGCCCTCGGCAGGCGTAGGGCATTTGTTGCTTGGCGAATGGCGGTGCATCCGCTGCGTGGATCCGCACAGAAGGTGCCTCCTGCGCCGGTCATGAAACCTCCACACTGAGCTTTGCGTGGGGGCAGGCATGGCCCCTGAAGCCAGGCCTTGGCGCATGCGCGCCTGGCGACCGTGCAGCATCGCCAGCAGGCTGCGCACCGGGAGTTTCAGAGGCCGCGGCCAACAGACGAACCGCCTCCAGAGTCCAGCGTAGTTTGTTAGGGGTGGCCCCCTTTCTTCTGTCAAGGAGCTGCTGGGACATTTGGGCTTCAAACGCACGTGAGGACAGAATCGGCCGCATCTGACTCCAGAGCTGAGGATCGGAGATGCCTTTGCTGCTGTGCTCCGCCCCACTGTGCGAGGAAGCAAGGAGACGAGAACTGGAGGCTGCTTCCACAGCTCTGCGCGACCAGGTCCGTCGAGGGCATGGTAGCCAAGTGTCATTATGTCGCTGGTTCTCATTCGCCCAGGTGGCAATGCACAAAGAAGCGGCCCAGGCACAGATCATCTGAGAAACCGGTCGGAAACAGAGCCAGCCTAGGCACATTCATGCAGAAGTGCTGCACGGGAAGGCTGCGCATGCTTCTGCTGAAGAGCGACTTCAGCAAGTCGAATTGCAGTTCCAGGTGCGCCGCTCCGGAGTTCGAGACTTGCAGAGTGGCGTTGGGGCCAAACCGCGTGCCAAGGAATCGGAAATGATTGCTGCCGAGGTGGGTTGCCTCCCTCCAGAGTTGACGTTCCCACGAAGACTGCAACGAGGCTAGCAGCCAGCAGCTCCTCGATCAGAAGCTTGTGAGCGCCAAGCTCGAGTGCCCTGGGCAAGCGACTACTCGAGGCTCCGAGGGCTCAGAAATGGTGCCAGGTCACGCCTGTCCACCGCTTCTGAGCGGGAGGACGGAAACTCTGTCAAAAGAGCCACTTGCACATGCCCGATGCTGTCGTCACACCTTCGGTACGACGTATCGGAGCATTGGGGCTGGAACGCCGCAGGAGGAGCTCCGCCACGAGATGTCGCGCCTGGCTGCCTGGCCCTGAGCATGCGCAGTTGCAGGATCGGACTCTTGCCTTTGTTTCCGGGGTTTCTACGATGGTCGACAGGGAGGTTTGATGTTGTCCCCCGACACTGTAGAAAAAAGGGTTGCTCTGCGGGCCCTTTTGCTGCCAGGATCTGCTCACAGCCGCAGAGGCCGAGGTCCTGGAGAAGACAAGCGATGTGGAGAACGCGGAGGCGTGTGCGCAGAGAGAGGAGGGTTCAAAAGTGGATCTCTATGGCTCTGAAGATCCTTGGGGTGATTTTTCTCTGGGGTCTTGAAAGCTTTGCACTGGACTGGACCGACGGCTTTCCAAGGATTCGCTCACTTGCCAGCCTAGTCAGCCTTTATAAAGCTTCATATAAACAAGTTTGTTCACCCTCTTGCCGCGACTCCCGCTATTTGCTTGTGTCGGACACAGGAGCGCCTAGCTGCAAAGACGGCAGAGGCGCCGCTTCAGTGTGGCTTTGCCCTGTGTCCTCACTGCGCCGTCGTGCCATTGTCCCCTGCTGTCTCTTTCCAGGTGCCCACGCCAGAGAAGCTAAGCTTCGACGTGTCAGAGGCGCACGCCTTCGAGCAAGCCGAGCTCCGGCAACACACCCAGGCGCCAGACGAGAGAGTCTTCGTGTTTCCTGGTGTCATGCAGAGTCTGCTTTTTTGGTGGAATCGTGGTCGTATCACCCCTCAAAGTTGGAATCGGAGCATGGACCTAGTCATGATTTCAGCATGCATGGTCCAATGGTAAGTCTGAAGTACAAGGAGGCTGCGATTGCTGGGCGCCTTGCCCGGCTGGTGCAGCAGGCGGCGGACCAAGAGGAGGAGCCACGAGCAGAAGAGGGCCGAGCTATGCACTCATGGAGCATAGCTCTGCCTCAGCTGGTGAGAAGGGTATGATCCTGTGCGATCATGACCAAACACTCGAAAGAGAAAAGATGCCAGCGAAGATACCAAAACATGCATAGAAGAGGCACATGATTACGAGCTCAGGGTGCGCCAGCAGAGTTTCACAGGGGTTGGAAAGGTCGAGGTGTGTTGCGCGCCTCACAGACTGAAGCTTCATGTCGGGAATACGCGAGGACCGTGATGTAAAGCACCCGTTGTGACCGTAGACAGACCGTGCATGTGCCGAGCCCTCTGAGACTCATCCGACTTGCCAAGCAGGCTGTGGAACTGCTGAATGAGTGGACTTTGGTATTCGTTAGTGCTCTACGTGGCAACTGCCGGCTACAGGAGATTGCCGTGCTGCAGACGTCACTGCATGCAGAGCGGGCCGCGCTGGCTGTTCTGCGCCGCCTCCCGACTGGAAGACAAAAACTGACACTGAGAGAGTTCAGTGAAGAGTTCGTGAGATCTCCCCAAGGTAGTGAGCTTCAGATCACGGATGCCGTGACTGAAGCCAAGAGCCTTCCGGTTCGGCATGTCCGCACAGACGTGGACGAGGTGCCAATTGCTTTACTGTTTGCGGTACTTCGCGCTTCAATGGGGGCCATTAAAGGTTGACGCCATAGACGGCTCGGGAGGCCAAGAACAGATGGCGGCTGGAGCATAGCTTCTCTGTGTCGGCGATTCACAAATCCGGCCAGCGGTCTCAGAGTGCTCAGTACTTGCATGTAATGTCCTGCATTCCTAGCCAGCAGTTCCACGACAAGCGCACGTTCCCGGCCTAGATTTGAGTCATCCAGCGCCTCTTGTGCTATGAGGCACGCTGCCGGAAACACTTCCATTGGCTTCGAGAACAAAGAGGCTCGCAAGCCGGAGCCAGTGACGCCCAAGGATGGCCTTCAAAGAATCGTCATTAGTGGAAACCCGAGAGCGATGAAGCCTCTCAACAGTCTTATCAACAACTAGAAGCTTTTCTCCAAAAAACTTGGCATTCCGATGCCATCCGGCGTGCTGGCAGCTAATGACTCAAAAGGCTCACTGAGACGAGCGTGGTGCACGAGGACAGCACTTCAAAGTCTTGTGCAAGGTGTTGAGCTCTCGTGTTGGGTGAGAGCCTCATGTTCATGACACTCGTGCACACACGATCGTGGCACTAGCTCAGATTTAAGTTCTTGTCTATGGCAAGCATTAACAGCACCTGGACCATTTGCCCCAGAAGCTGGTTCTGCAAATCGGTCATATTGCTCCATCAAGTGGTCCTGCGCGGCTGAATAGTTTCATCCTGCCTCAAGGACTTGTTTTTTTTTGTTACGGTCCTTCGCAGGCAATCGTTGCAGAGAGATCTCGTTGAGAAAAAGCGTCATGATTCATGGCTGAAACCTACGCGACCCTGTATTTGGAAGAGGCGCTCCTTCATCCGGTACAGAATTGTCGTATGGCTTCGTGCGCAATCCATCAGACCAACGTGGTTTCACTGTGTCGACCCTAAGCACACAAGATGCAAGGCAGCAAAGCACCACAAGGTTCAGTCTGTCTCCTTGGCCATTACGCGCGACATCATGCAGCGATGGACGGCTTGCGTCGTTGTCTCCGCATAATGCAGCCGTGCTGCACATGTCTGTTTCTGATCTGATTCACTCGTCTGCAGCCCATCGAAGCCTCCACAGGCATGACCTGAGGTTCAGTAAGCGGCGCTCCATGGGCTCAGGGTTTAGGGTTTAAGGTTTGGGATCTGGTTTTGAGGATTCAATGCCCTAAACACCTTTCTGAGGACCCAGCTTAAGTTGAAGTTACAGATTGCAGCTTCGGCTACCGAAGCCGCCCGAGTCAAAGGCATGTGCACGCATGTGGTGCTACTAAGTTGGTGGGCATTGATGAGCAGGGGTGGATTCCTGCAGAGCTGAGCAGAGGTATGTTCGTTGCGAGGGAGCTCGCATTCTGAAGGGCTTGGTGATGCTAAAGTTGCGAAAGGTTTCACATGGACAGAGGTAGTCGGACATGTAGTCTCAGGAAGCACATCCGAAGCATACCGGACAAGTGGTGAGATGTTGTGACTCTGAAAGTGTGCAACCGGATGCATGCAAGTCGCCCCACCTACAAGCGAGCCCGAGGGTCGTAAATACTGGGGCAGCCCATCAGCTCTCCAGCGCCTCCAGCGGTTGCTATGGCTTCGCTGTCCTTGCAGCCCATCTCACGCGCTGCAGGCACCTGCACACCAGCACAGGGCAAGCACACGTTTCTCTGCTGTTCCGATTCCTGCAACTCCAGCTCCATCTTCGGCTCCCGCGGCCGGAAGTGGTGGCTCGAGGTCGGCTTTCAAGCAAGGCTGTCCTTTGCATGACAATCGCAGCAACTGCTGCTTGATCAATGGAACGTGCAATTGTGCTTGTGTTGCCGGATTCGGATTTGTCCTAGCACATGCGCCGACAACCGCAAGCGTCGAGGCAGCATGCAGAGTCAGCCGTAGAATCAGGACACTCATCCGTCCTTCCGGAACAATTCAGGACAGTATGTGGATCAGTGCTGACAGCGACAAAAGCTGCTACCAGTAGAAGACCAAAGAGCACTTCTCAAAGCAAAGATGACTCATCTACCGATCCTGTGCGAAATGACCAATGACCAGGTTCTTGGCGCAGTTCCGGAGGCTTGGCATTATCACGCTCTTGCATACATTCCAGGTTCTCTCCGGTTAAGTCGGATGGGAATCTACGCACGGTTTTTTCTCGGATGACGCTCAGATTATCAGGAAGCATGCAGTCTGGATGTCTTCGGATGACGCCGTGAAGGGATGAACACGACCTGAAAGAGAACAGGAACCTCTGTGCAAGTCCGGTGAACTCTCCCGTCATCCCCTTATGACTGCGCTCTGGTCCGCCAGGCCCCAAAGCTGGTACTCCACGAATGAAGGTCCAGGAGCTTCGACGGGGGCTGTCGGGTCGGCAAGAGTTCGTTCTGTGCATGCGTGTGCGAGTGTGTGTGTGTGTGTGTGCAGGCCCAATACCTGCCACTGCCGGTTTGCACGTGCGGCGCTCTGCTCGTCCAGTCGCTTGCAGAGCTTGCTTACGCGTTTCGGTGCCAAGCCTTGGAGCCCGAGCTCGTCGGGATTGGATGCTGATTCCGCTTCCTGCCATGCCCAGCCTACATCCAACGACCAAGGCGGTTTCCCTCTTCCTGGTCCTCAGGCGGAGGAGGTCCGAAGCTGTTTTTGGTGAGGAGAGCTTGAGACTTACGAGCTTCAATTAGACCACGGCTTCGGCCTCTTTGAGGCACCGGCACGGAGATCTTCGGCCTTGGAGGCCTCAGAGACACTTCCGCGGGCCTCGCGCGAGCCTGCGAGGCGAGGGTCGGCCTCTTGGGGGTCCTTTGAGGGTCCTTTTCATAGGGTGCCGTACTATTTTGGCGACCTAAAAAGGGACCCTAATTAGACAACTACCCATGTGGGATTGCTCCAGGAATCCCTTTGTGTCGGCAAGGTACTGCCGACCCCGTGGGCCCAAGGCAGGGGAGCATCTCTGCACCAGCTCTATGCCAGAATCTGTGTCTGAATGCCCGGTGAGATACAATGAGGCCACCAAGAAGAGCTGGAGCCGAGCGAGAGAGAGAGCGAGATAGAGAGAGAAGAGAGACGGTCGGGGGCGCCGACGCGCGCGGGCCAGGGGGGCCAACTCCCTGGCACAGCCCTGGCGAAAGAAAGAAGAAAGAAAGATCGACAGAGAGAGAGAGAGAGAGCTGCTGTTGTTGCATGAACACCGGCGAAACACACCCAAAGATGTCATCCTCTACATGTGCAGTCAGTGTATGATGTTGTTATGCCCTTTTGATGCCGAACCACACAAAGGGGGATGACAATAATTCAGGTGTCCAAATGTGCTGCAATGTTTGAGCTCGGGGGAATTGGTTTTCCCGCTCCTCTCATATCACAATAAAAATATCTGTTCAAATCAAAAATATCTGAAATCGAAGCTCAAACATGTTCTTCAAACAAAAACCCCCGAAAGCCCCATAACAGGTGNNACCCTGGGAAAGAAAGAAAGAGAGAGCGCGATGAATCCTGGCCAGTGGCAGCTTGTCCGACGCGCAGCTCCAACGGCTCCTCTCACCGGCGCCACACACTGAAGGGGAACATGCGTCCACGATCATGATCATGTCCAACAGATCATGTGGGTCGGATTGGGACTGAGTCTTTTCCTGCTGAAAGAGCTTGAGTCTGAACCGTTCGGTGGAAGACACAAGGCTTCAAGAGCTGACTGCAACTTCAATCCCAGACCTTTCGTTTCTGAGCCCCCTAATGCATTTGCGGATTTCCAGCGCTGTGTCATCAGGTTTACCGCCTCGTTCCTGAGTTTCCTGCTCTATCCTTTGCTTGCTCAAGCGGCTGCAAGCTCAGTGTTGGACTCGCGGAGGTCTTTCGACGGCTCCAGCCCCGAACCCGAGCTTTGTACTGCAAAGCCTCCTGCCAGGTTGCCTCCCAGCTGGACTCTGTGGCGCTTGGCGTCATCAAGGGTGATGTGCGAGCCCTACATTCGGCCTGAGCGGCCTGAGCGAAAGTCCTCGATTGTCGATAGCAATGTGCAGATCCGTTTGATGGATGGCATGCTTTCCAGAATCTCAGTGGTGCAGTTTCCAGAGATTCAGTGATGGACTCCAGATTTACGGCAAACCTTTAGTGACTTTAGTGGCTTCGCTGAGGTTTCACAGTACATGCAGAATTTCTTCAATTTCAACAGCTTGCTGTTTTCGTTCTTCGTCTCCCAGACGTACGCCTCCTTGTACCAGCAGCAGGACGGGCATGTATGCCTTGAAAGAGCCCCTCAGATGTAGGAGATTGTAGGAGAGCATCCAGTTGAGGTTGCAGGAATCGTTGCGGTGTTTCTGTGGCTCGTCAATTTGCTTTCCACATGCTGCCAGGGCGCAAAAAGGCTTACCTGTGTGAGCAGTTCCGGTGCGATCTGTAAGACCGTGCCCTGGGCGCTGCGATGCCTTGCGAGGAGAGTTTGTACATGGCTCTCTACTCCGAGATCGCCGAGGCGCAACGGCACTCTCGGGAGCTGAGATATCCAAAGGCTTCTCGGAAGATCGACGCTGGGCTGGGACGTTCTCGACCTCGCCACGAAGAGATCTTTGGAGCTTCCTTTAGACAAGGACCCAACAGCTTCATGCGATGACATGCACAGTCTGGGTGCAGACCAACACTTATCGCTTCTAGAATGCGTGAGAAAGGTGTTGCGCACAAGATTCCCGATCCAGAGCTTGTGCAGTAGGCTCTGTTGATTGGACGGCCGCATGGCCTGCGTGTACAGCAGCAAGCAGGACTTTGTTGTCCCACCCCGCAGCTTGCCCTGTGGTGGGTGGAAGTGTGTCTCTGTCTTCCTGCACAAATGCGCTGACTTTGGATGCCTGGCGGCAGCTGCTAGAACCACAAGCTGTAGCTGTCGTGCAGTTTGGAGGGCCC